AATACAGAAAAAAAAACAACTAAATGTCATTGTTAAAATAATTGATTGTCGAGAATCAAACCTAGATTTCGTTAATATGTAATGTTTTCTGCGCTACAATCTACGACCATATGTTGTTGCCCATAAGTGGTTTAAATAATCGCAATAGAATTCTACTGAAAAGATTTTCATCAGTCACATATCTACTAAACACATGGTTACCAAATGTGATTTAATAATTCGTCAAATTAATAATCTTGTTGCTTTTTAAAGATTTCTAGTTCGCAGTTCATTGACTCTTGATTCGTAGATTAAATACATACAGTAATTTAGCGCCTGTGTTCTCCCTGTGTGGGTGTTATTGTTCGCGATAATTACCTACTGCAGGGTGAAGAACTTAACTATTTTGACATGTTAACAAACAATTCGCTAAGACACCTACGCTAATTGCATAAATGGTTTATTGTGAATATGTTCTGTAGATATTATTTACTTTCTAGTTTTGAATATCACTTATCAAAGTCAATATTTAAGATGTCTCTTAACGATTGATAGCATTGAACAATGGTAGTATTAAGCCACTTGTCCACATATAGAAGAGAACAATATTTCTGCAGAAAGAATTCCAAATACTTCTTTGTATTTCTTCAGTTTGTGGGTTAGTGTAGAGATATCCTTTTTATGATTTTAGGGGTTTCGTAGCTAACTGGCTACAACGAAGAGCAAACTAAGCTAAAACGCTTTTATGATGTCTTCATGTTTTCTGTACATCACTATATCATAATCTTACATCTTATGCAAAACTCTACCATCACTTTTGTCTTGTAAAAACAGTGAATAGTTGTATTTAATTTTTCATAGAATCTTATCAAATGTGATGTTGTTTTTTAAATGCAATCAGAAATATCCCATCACTTTTCGATTGCGTGTGTTATTATAATTTTCGCTTTGTGTATGTTTACATAGTCTTTAACTTACTAAAAACAACTACTAAATTTTGATATAAAATTTAGAGCCTTATTATAATTACAGTTAAAATAATTTGGAATGAGAAAAGTTGCCACATTTTAAGGCTATTGGGACTTTGGGATATGACCCCCATGAGATCGAAGGTAGTTTTCATATAGTTAAACATTCAAGTATTTGGAATGTTTTTCAAAAATTTGTTTTATTGTGTCTGTAAAGATCACCTGGTTCTATAGACAGAATGGTGATCATATAACGTTTCATGAAAACTCTCTATTAACTAATTGATAAACAAAACTACATATTTACAATGTTCCTTTACATCAACATTTAAAATGCCGATAAAAAATCATATAGTTGAATTACAGAGGTTCCGTTTTCATCGTTTGTCTACCGAATAATAAAAGCGATGTTTTTGTTTTATATCATAAAATGTTTACTTTTTATGGAAACTTAAAGAACAATATACCAATATTATTAAATGTCACTATAATAAAACCTTATGTTTGTACCTATTTTTTTTATTGCAGAATGTTTTATAAATTACTGAACATTTGTATGTTAGCTTGCATGTTTTTACAACTACATATAACAGTTTTGAACTTATATATTTTATTACTTGTATTAATCAATTTCAGAACTGTTTGTTTCTAATAACATGTTATATTCTTCATATAATAATTGTATGTAATATCAAAACGCAGATAATTTCCTTCGATTATTCCACGTACTACATAGTAATTTAATAATCAGTCAATGTAATTTAATGGATTTGGATTGTATTTAATTATTAGTATTTTAGCTTTCTTAGGAAATTACAATTTTATCTATCTGCGTTTATTACATATTTGCTGTGCTTGCTCAGTTTATTGTCTTTACATAGTTATTAAATTATTACTAAAAAAATCTCAAAATTTATCCAGTAGTTTTAGTGTATTACGTTTAATAATCATCAAATTTTCTTTCTGCACTCAGTATCAGTTAATCAATATTTATTGTAATAAATCACAGGTCGATGACCTTCATGGGGCATACGATAATGATGAACGGTTTTGGGCATACCGCAATTGCATAAATTATAGTCTGTTAATAGCTGTACATCATTATTAGGTAAATATATGTATTGTATATATTTTTTTCCATTTTCTTGGGAATTATAATTTAATTATAAAGAAATTCCTTAGCTATTTTTGGAAAAAGGTTTGAAGTTGTTATTTATTGTTAATGCTTAACTTGACAATATTAAAAAAAAAAAAACAAATTACTATACAGTTTTTTACCCAACTGCCGAGAAAAGTTTGGTAATGGATGGGTTGTGGTTGTATGTATATTAATAAACATATTACGTATTTGCTTATTCAGAATTTTGGCGTACCGTGTTACCTAAACCGTTCGATAGAATATCCTTGCTAATAGGTTTCATGACGGCAATATAAAATAAGTATGGCGGCCATAAACTGTAAAAATTATTTTACATTCTAGTTGTTTTAATTTTTTTGGAGGCAACGGCATTGAACTAAGTTGGAGTGGATATTTAATATTGTTTTGAAGGTTAAATGTGCATTTCTTTTCATAAGTGAAAAAAACAAACTAACACGAAGTTTACGTGGGTATTGTATTGCACGTGTGATAATTTTTTTTAATAACTTTTAAATTGTTCTATAAAAATCCCTGTATTAATTTTTTTAAGAATTAGATTTTAACTGATAAAAGATGTTTCATTAATTTTTTTTTTTTATTTTACTATAATTTTTAAAAAGTGATTACTATTATAAAATATTAATTCGATAGTATATATCACAATAATAAGTATATCAGTATGATATACAAAGCATATAATTTCTAGTTTATAAAATAAATAAATATATTCATGTATTTAATTTGTTGCAAAAAGACTATTTATTTGAGGTAGCCGTCACTTTTCTTTCTGTAGATTCATGTATATATTTGATTAAGGGAGCACGGAGAGAATGTAAACAGTCTACAATATATTTACTTACCTCCTTAACTCCCCAATATTGACTGATCGACGAGACTATACCCATCTGCTTAGGGTTGAGATGTCAACAAATAATGTCTTCCCGTGTGAAAAGTAATATGTATTCAATACTATTCAACATAGGTAGATGGTTTTAGGATTATTTTCTTAAAGTGACTTTAAAATAGTTTCATCTGATGTTTTGTAGTTATATAATTACGAGTATGTTATATGATTTCATCGCTAATTTTAAACTGATTTTTAATAATTCCATATTATTAATAAATGTATATAGATAGATTGTTGTAAGTTCGATACAGTATACTTTGTTTTGCCCTGATACCACAGATAATAAAATACTATGCTAGTAATAGTACTGTTCATGTCTATATGCAACGGTTACTACATTCCATCAGGTGGGCAGATAGTTTGTTTGGTATTCTAAGTTGAGTAAAAAATTCTATTTCCATTGTAGCAGTAATGAATGTAAACTCTAATACGTGACATAATACTTTTCTAGGAATATAAAATTAAAATTTTGACAAAGGTTTCTATGAGTTGATATCATCATCATCATTTCAGCTTGGATTAATATCAATACATAATAGGATGTAAAATAGCTATACGATAGCTTTACATAAATTATATTGCGTTATTATATGACTAAATACATTTAATATACGCAATACAATTGTATAGTAATTATATTTGCAGTAAAGTCTAAATTGAATAAACATGAGTGTCACTGACTGTAATAATAGGTCAGTAATCGTTATGGATCGTAATGGCCTGTAAGAGGCTGTGACTTTTCAATTAAGCTCCATTAAGTAATATAATACAATTCTTGCACAATAATTTGAATTGAAGATGATTATAATGGTGTTTTAACTTTTTGTTTAAAAGAGTATGTAATTGTGCAGCTTTTGAGGTTACTGTGGCCACTTGCTATTAAGATAACGTGGTCATACTACTTTCAATTTTATTGGTTCAATTTTTTTTTATATTTGGGTCACAATATTGAAAACTCGAAAGATCAATAGTAATATGATATTGTGAGCTTATTATGATATTACAAAACCGAATTTGAACGATACTCGATTGAATTTCACACTGATTTGTCAAAATTAAATTATTAGTGGAATCTAATTTGTTTGGAGTAGAGCTTGTTAGTAATCATACATTAAACACTAAAAATATCGGATAGACTTTATCTCCGTACCAACCTACCAAATAAAATTCATCACAGAAAACATTCAGTATCAAACTTTTGACCACAATTTCAAATTTGTTATTTCGTGGAATAAATTCGTATACCAATTTCTTTAGGTATTGATAAAAACACGTTGTTTATTTGATTCAGATATATTTTCAAAATCAAAATATTTTTGGCAATGTCATGTTGAAAATAAGGTAAAAAGTTGTACTCGGCCTTTCAAGATAAAATTGTTAATATTACTATAACTTCTAATTTAAATAAGACTATTTTAGTTACTATCGTCTGTATGGCAAAAACTGTATTTTTAATGTAAGTCAATACAATAAAAAAGGGCCGAGGTCTCCCATAAGAGAGCCATTACAGATACAGATAACGTTATTTACTTTGATTTCTGAACTTTATCTGATAAGTACAATTTGATTTTTATGTAAGTTTGTCTAACTATAATAATTTGTATATATTAATATAATGTATAAACCGTATTTAAATAAAGATATATACAGTATCTTTAAAAATATTATAATTCCCTACGGTATTCAATAGACCTACCGTAATTTAAAGCATGCATCTATTTTTATTTTAAAATATTTTACTATAGCTGCTATCATCACTTCAATCTCTCCCTACAAAAATGCAATAAACTATACAAAAAGTAGCAAGCATAAAAATAATAATAGCAGCGGCAACGTGATGGTCCCTAGTTGAAGTGTATCTAGGAGCAGAAACTGGTTTCAATTACGAAGTGTCGACAGGCATCTGTGCGTTTAATGCGGGTTATTGCCTTTCCAAGATTTAATCCAACAGCATAACTCTGTTTTGTTCTTTAAAATCAGGGTGTTCATGAATAACGAAGCAGGATTTGTGACATGGGTTTGTAGTGTGTAGTGTTAACGGTCCTTTTGGATGATGGCAATGGCGACATGGCGGCCAGCTGCGAACAGATGAGCGAGACTCGAGTCTACATATCGTTGGTATGGCAAGCAGTCTCCCTCCGCGCAGTCGCAATGTACACCAGTCCGTTTGAGCGCGACCCGGCACGCGCACCTATATGCTGTGCGTGTAATCGAAACGAGTAACCGAAACATTCGAATGTAACTGACAATTTGATAATCCAAATAATATAAAGTGACAGTATCGTGTTGTGTGGTATAGTGTACGATCAAGTAACGATTGTTTATTTACAGTATCTACTACGGTTGACGTCTGTTGGTCGATAAATTCATCGTTTTCTTCGATCAGTATAATATACATAATTGAAGGTCCGCATGTGAAGGGAATATACCCTGGAATAACTGATAATCATTGTATATTAAAATGGGGAAACTGATATAAAAAACAATTTAGGTCTCAATAGACATGCATAAGGTTTTTGTTAAAATTAACTTATATCCATTAATATCAAAGTTTTTTAGTGTTGATTAAGATATATTTAATTACAAAAATATTTTAAAGTTTAACCTTTGTCTTTTAAAGTAGTATTAACTGTATTTTGGGATCCAGTATTTTCCTAATATATACTATTGACACGTATAATTTTAATATAATCTAATTCAGTCTGAGATGAATTGATTACATATTTTATATCAAGTGTATTTAAAATTGTTATAGTTTTTAATATTAAAATATTTTTATATTAGTACATTTATTATTACGATTTATTATATTTTTATTATTTAGTACCTATTAACTTTACACTATTTTTAAAGAATTTGCCTAAATAACATATTGATTCAGAAATAAAATTACTTATGGTATGTCCCGTCAACGTTAATATACCGCAACATAAACGTACAGAACCATAAAATATTGATCACAGTTGCTAGGAGATTAGCGGACAACAATAAACCTGGTTTATAATTCTCAATTGCAACTCTCTCACCATATATATATCACCTCACACCATATAGTGGACCCTGGAAACCTCTAGGGAGCTTTTCATGGTCAGTTTGAAATAACCGACTTTCCAATATATGTATCTAGATAGGTATAGTAGATTCTGATATATATATACAAAATGTTGCCTTTTAATAAACACTTTATGAGTATTGAAAGAAAATTACTCGTCTACGTCTAGCTTTATATTTAACCGATGCTAATTGCTAATACATAAAAATTAGAGACATTGATTTTAAATGGATTTCATTTATACTGATAACAATATTATAAAGAGGAAAGATTTGTTTATTTTTTTGTTGGTTTGTAATGGTTAAATTCGAATATTACTCACCCGATTTTAAAACCTATAGAAAGTATTCCTACTTTTTTTTTACATAAATTTGAGATTCCTAAGAAAATCTAATAATGTAACAAAAGTATTAAAAATTTACCTATTAAAGCTAATATAACATATTAATTTATCTTTCTGTCTATGTACTAGTGAGTAGCCAGGGCGAATCACTAATAGGAATAGATCAATAATTAAAACGTCGTCATATAAGTTTAAAAATACATGTATGCAAATAACGTGCACAGAAAGCCATAACTTTATCTTTTATTATAAGTTTGTCATATCTGAGGAGATTGCTTATGAGCATTTTATAGCTTAACTGTATTAATTTTATATTATGAAATGCCATTTTAACAGTCTTTTTAATTTTAATGATTTGTTTATATAAGTTAAGTAAAATCGTATTAACTACTAAATACAATTTTAACTTTTTTCAAATTTATTTCTTTGTGTTTCTTGATAGTTCTTTGTGTTCCTAGATATTGAAAGGTTTAGTTTAGTAGGAAATGTAATCGAAAATATACCAAATTTCAACAAAATATACCTTTTTCAACAGATTTCAAAAAGAAAGTTCTCAATTAGTTTTTTTTATGTTTGTTACCTCATAACTTTCTTAGTTCTAAACCTTATCTGAAAGGTATACTTATAGTTTGGTCCTATATAAATTTAATCAAAATTGGGTCAGTAATTTAATTTTTAGATCAATTTAACTGGTTTTGTCACAATTAAAGTCAGTTTTTTGTGGGGCACAATCTTGATTTATTATATGGTTTATTTAAGTACAAAAAATAAAAACCGACATTGTAGATTCTGTTTCTTTAAACACAGACTACAATTTTCTTAGTTGTAGATGAAGAAGTTTACTACATAAACAGTAAACAAAATGATACTGCATATACTATATCAGATTACGCTATTAGATTACTAGCAAGTGGTTAGTCGATGATGTTACAGCTATTGATCATTTAAAAATAAAAACAAGATTTTTACTATTTTGTAAATGTTAACTACGTTATCAGCCTGTTTTATGGGAAGTAGTAATTTTTGTTTTGTTTAAACATAGATGGATATTTTGCTTTTGTTTATTGATTATCGTTATTTTTGTCTTTGTTTACATTTTAACTAAACAGGACATGGTGTGTTCTTCTCAATCAGGCGTTTTAGTTCTCTTATTTTATTTATTGTTTAAACTGTTAGTACGTTGGTTGTTAATAGATCACAATTTGTTTAGACGTTAAATTTATGTAGGGGTTACAGCAATTTAACTGTAAACAGTAACTATCAAATATAAGTTGGTATATTTGACATTATCATGATAATATACTTAATAAAATACTTGAAAATTTTAAAGTTTATTAACCTTAACGTATTTTAGTAAATGATCATTATTCACTTACTAAAATGTATTTATAGAAATGTGTAGATAAGGTCAACATGCAACCAGTAGCGGTGGAGCATGTTGCTAATGGTGACATTTTAAACCGGTTTAAATTTTACTAATTAATTGTTAATTATTTTTTCAATTAGGAGTTACGGATTTTGAAATGAAAATTAATTACTTTAGTATGACTTACCATTTTAGTTTTTGCTATCTTATTATACCGTATTAACTGTTAACTGTCTATTGCTAAACATGGGCCTCTCCCATAAGGGGGGTTTGTTAGTGGTTGCCATGCTGGCAGCCGGGTTGGTAACCGCAGTTAGGCTTTGATGATGTTTTAAGAGAAACGTTGCCCATTCTTCAACCGTTGAGTTCCCCCTACTCGCTTCTTACGACACTCACGGGATAGGAAGGTGTGGCCCATTCTGTGCCGGGACCACACGGCAACATCTTATCATATTTAGTTGACTACCTTTGGAGGATAATTTAAGAATGCAGCTCAGTGCATAAATGTAGGATATCTATAGTAGTCCAAATAATGTTAAACTCGTGTAGCTTGTGCTATGAAAATACATACAAAGTGTATTTTGGGTTGTGCCGATAGAGATCTGTATTTACTATTGAAGGATTCAAAAGTGTATTATAAAATAGCGTCTTCATGCTTCTAGTAGTTAGAAAGTACTTACTAGCGGTAACAGGAGTATGAGGAAATACTACTAATACCATGGTCCCGCTTGCGCTATTGGTATACTATGATGGGGTACCAGTGAGGGTAATGGGTGAAGGTGAAAGCAGGTCAGTTGGCTCATCGAATTTCATAAAAATTTACCACGATGTTTTCCAGAAGGAATAGCGTGGAAATCGATTTGATAGGATATATTATTAGTAATGGGGCTGTAGACCTCATTAATAACAATTCCTTTCCCCCTATCTCAAATAGGTATGTACCTAATTTTGTTGACTACCAAGGGTAAATTTGAGGTTTAGGCTGGAATTTTCGTAATTACAAAGTTCCTAAACATCATATCCGAATAGATCTTTTGAAATTACGGTTTCCGTGCACATTGCACGGTGATTTATTTATTTAATGGCACATAGTTTCATATTAGATGTGCACGCAGTTCATCCACAAATGGGAGTTATTTTCGTTCGTTGACCGTTCTTTTGTGTTGTTTTTGTCGCTGGCAGTATTGAAACGATTATGTTGGAATTGTAGCACGTGCTTTCATGCCATAAACCTGTATGTAATACTGTGGTAAAAAAGTAGTGCTTTGGCTTGACTTATACTTTAAAGTTACACCTTTGGTACGTTATTAGATGAAATTACAGATTAAAACATATTTATCAGGTAAAAAGACGTTTTATTAGAGAAAAGTTTTTCGATATTTGGATTTATAATATGTGTATTCATTATATGTGTAGATTTTTGTTTTTTTGTTATATATTACGTGTAACCTTTTAGGCTTTTTATTTTATTATATAAAAATAATTTTAAAAATCGGTCTCAATTGACGGAGACCTTGGACGTCCTTCTTTTTTGAAGTCGGTTAAAAATTAAACTCTGTTATTTATCAAAATGTATAATGTATTATTGTGTATAATTAAAATTATAATCGACTAGTTGCTAACAATAATTTTGTAGATATTAATTTCAAAAGCTGTAATATTGTGCGAAGATGATACATACGATAAGTAAAACACAGGTTTTTGTAGTCATAAAAATAATTAATACCTTTTTATAGGCACATATTTTGTAGTCATTTGCCTTGTATATATTTTAAAGAAACAGCAATTAGTTGCCTTTTAAAAAGGATTTTTTAAATACTATATAACATTTAAGAAAATAAAAATTTCATTTTAATGTACTATACAGTATTCAGACGGTCACGATCCCGCATTTGTTATTATCAAACCGCTATAACAATTTCAATGTAGGTACGTACTTACAAAATAATTGCGTTTTCTAAGCACGACTAGCAGCCATTGACCTTTCATTCACTAATGTTTACCTGAAAGGAAAAATCTACTACACAGCTTTAGTGCTTGCGTAGTCAAGTTAGTGCTTTATTAGTGCACTTACTTGGTGTTTAAAAATATAAATTATTTGATATATAAATGATAATGAAAAGTATATACTTTGCATATGTAAATAATATATTTATGGATTTTCGAGTAATAATATATAATATATATCCAGTATTTCTCCATACAAATATATAAATATTTATCGATATTTTGCTCTACCTGTACACAACAACAATCAAACATCCTTATAGTTGTCACATATATAATAATGATAATACGAAAACCGTATTATACGCATTGTGTCCAATAATAATAACAAAATCGCCAATGCGCACGTGACACTCCTAGTGTTGCAGGTGTCCATAGGCTACAGTGATCGTATACGGATACTACTATAATACGGATCGTATATGATCAGACGGGCTGTATGCTTGTTTGTCACCTTTGTGGTATAAAAAGATAAATAAAAAATATTACATATCCAAATCATAATTCACACTGCTAATATTGTGGCATACAGCTTGTTAATAAATATAATTATTATAGTGGAAGAGAAAAACATATTATGTTGTCCCTAAATAATAATCAGGGTAAAAAGATTATGATGATTTTGTATTATAATAAATTAATCAGAGGTCACCAACTTAAATATAATTCGGACGTAACGGCTTCTGAGTCGGTACCGTAACGTTGGACCTGTTGCTAGCACCACCGGATATATCTACAGCCCGTCGCAACTAGCACCCAGACTTGTGCATGAATAAACCTTAGATAACGCATCTGTCATCAGCTGTTCAATCTTACATTACTTATGACTATTTCTCAAACTTCAGTTTAGGATAAACAGAAAAAAAAAGAATCACTGTAGGAACGTTCAAAACTCGCAGTATTAACAATAATAAATTATTGGATGTCTCTCTCATATAAGAAACACAGTACAGGTTAATTTATCTTATATCTAATATATATATATATATATATATATATATATATATATATATATATATATATATATATATATATATATATATATATATATATATATATATATATATATATATATATAAATATATATAATGTTATGATTATACATGTATTTAAAGTATATGTAATTGTAATAAGCTGTAATAATAATATACAAGGATTAGATAATAAAAACCTAACATATATTGAAAAATATATTGCTAATACATTTGATTTCCAAGAACTTTACATTAATAAAGCCTTAGCCTATCTATCAGTACATAATTTTTTTTATTTATAGTAAAACTATAGCTATAGTTTATTCTTATGACTTAGTTACGAAATTGATACAAATCTAATATTTATCATAATTTAAGAAGCTAAATCACGTCGCTGGATATAACATGACATTGATCTGATTTTCGATGTATATTTTTACTTACAATAATTATATTCAATGCTATATATTATATTAACTTTAAAGAAACTGCAGTAAAATAGGATTAGTTTAGTTTTAAAAGATTATATACAAATTATATAAGCAGTGTATAATTGAAATTCTACAATGTTCCCATAATAATATTTAACTAAATAATTATGTCAGAAAAGCAGTTCCCAATTACAACATTATATCTAAACACGGCCTTAACGCTTATTTGAACAGTTGCGGACGTCGACCGTAGTGAGAATACTCGCTACTTCCTTCAGATTAAACAATGAAAGTATGACATAAGTTGCATACAAGGTAATTATATCGTGTGTGTGACCGGGTGATGATAACAGCAGTTTGTTTTTGTGTGGAACAGTAGTGATGGTGATGGTCCGCGATGCCGGACTGGCGATACAACGTGTTGTCGACGAGTGAAGCATATATAAACACTGAGGGAGTTCCTGGCGATCCTCTCATCGCCAGTTATCCACGACGTGCTGACCGTACTCGGCCGCTGCATACATGTCCCTACACTACAATATTTCTTGCATCTCGGCACCATAGTCCTTTCAGACTACCGACGCTGCAAGGTGATGGAGATCCATATGCAGACGTATATTCTGTCGACCGTTCATCAAACTTAACGGATACTTCTAGTTTTGCTCATTATGAGGACTGTCGTCCACATGTAGATGGACTCCTGCCAGGAGATAACGATAATAAAACAACTGAAAACTTGGCATTACAAATTAAAAAGGTGCCATATACTTCTAGCGTATTTTACGTCTCCACAAAAAACGATACTATAAGCAAGGAAGTTGTGCAAACTGATGATTTATATGTTGTTGATGGATCAGATTCGGATGCATTATCTTCGTGTACATGTGACAGCTTTGAACGTTGTGAATTTGACTGTAGAGATTTTGAACCATTTTCCGATACTTGTTGTTGTGATCCACATAGCGATGGCGTTTGTAGTCGAAGTCCGAAAGAAGTCGATTCACCGGAATATTACGGTGATCGAGGGGAGGAAGACGATGGTGTATCTGCTCGAAGTGACATGGAAGGATTAGATTTAACTCTATTTGAACCGGCACAAACAGACTCTAGTGAAGGTGAAAATGTGATTAATGGACACAATGCGGTGTCAATTTCCTCTGCTCTATGTGGGGTATTGTATGCGCTCCCAGATAACTGTGGTAAGTGGTATATAAATTATTTTTATTTTACATCCATCACAGAACAGTTTTTATACCCCAATTATGGCTATTACTTGGAAGGAGCACACTGTACGTACTATACTGCCTGTAATATGCCGTGTGGTCTGCGTCACTTGTTCTCGTATCCGATACGAGCAACGGTTTGCTGTAAATTGCTATCGCATCATTCGTTAACCTTCATTGTCATTGTCGCATTATAACTAAGTTATATAAAAGCTCTCATAAAAGACAAGTCAGAACAGGTGCGCAGTTGTTGTAAATATATTGACTGTTATATTGTCCTTGATCTTGCTATTACCATAGAGTATTTTAAGTATAATTGACCTAGATTTTGGAATATATTATATCAGATATAACTCGATTTGTTGACGAAGTTTCACATGATTTATATTCATATATGCAGATTTCATGATTAATATATATTACATATTATGTGTATGCATATACCTAGATGTAATAATAATATGATACAGATTTGAGTTTAGATATTAAATTTTTTTTATCTTTTTATATTATTTTATTATATTAGATTATTTATGGGTTGGAAACGGACATTCTCCTGTAATCTCTTTGATAATGGTTTCATCAAGATTTTATTTAGTTACACTAATTATATCCGCTAATTAATATTACGTTAATGATCATAAATATCTGGACTATCCGGTTAATGTGGTCTTTTTTCAATTCGCATATATTTTTTATTTAATTGTCACACACACATATATATATATATATATATATATATATATATATATATATATATATATATATATATATATATATATATATATATATATATATATTATTTTTTTTTTTATGTAGTTTTATAGCTGTAGAAATTTTAGTGTAGTACTATGTTATTATGTATACTTGTTGTAAATCAAACATTCTACGATTGCGTTGTTTTCATCAGCACACGAGCTACGGATCTTGTATTGTATACCGAGCTTTTATTAGTATAGTGGTGCTACAAATTGCGTACCGTTAGCGTTACTACGTACTAATTACTGGGAAAGATAGCAGGCGATTGTTGGTTCGTATGCAAATCTTAAAGATACTGGTTGGAATAATGGATCTTAACAGACAGATGAATAATAAATGAATCCTTATATCTGTGTCTTGTTTTACTAGTGGCAACGTCGTAACGGTTTTTTGTAATTAGTATACTATAAATATTAATTGTGAAGAACTTCAGCGCATGTGAATATTGGTGTAACAGCAAACTATATCCGTGTGAATAAAATGTATCTTATTGTCCGAAATTAATGTTTTAACATCATAAAAAAAAGCAAAGCTTGTATTAATTTACATTGTTTTATTTTATTGACTAATAGGTAAAATATCTCTTATCTTTATTCTCGTGTTTATCTTATATATTTATCACTGTGTTATATTTTATGTATTTGTCTGTTATATATGATATATGATTTATATGTTTTATATATTATTCTTATACATTACATCTCTTGCACACATGTGTCCGTGAGTTACGTATTTAGGGCCTACTGAAAATCAGTGTCGTAGCTTCAGATTTGAAACTGCGACATATGCTGAGTTAGGTCCTTTACACAAACACTGCTACATTCATTTTGTTTTTTATATGTTTTTCTTTTATTCAAAATTAATAAAATTAAATAAAAATAAAAAATAAATTAAGTATATTCGTGAATGGGTTTAAAAATGCTATATTTAGGCAGTTTTTGCAAGAATCCTATCCATTAACTACAGTTTTTATCTAATTATATTTTTATGAAGTATACAATATATAGGTATTAGTTTAAGTTCTGAGTATGGTATCTATTTAAGTCCTTTGCGTAGATAATGATATTTAAAAATATTCAACACGTTCACTGTAACCGACTGTAATATTCTTATAATCTTTTAAACTTCAAGGCTATCGGTAGTATCACTTACTAGGTAGTTATAAATCCTTTTTGTACTGGTGTAAAAACAAATGAGAATGTCGGGACAATGTCCACAATAATCATTGCATACGTGTTTTTGTACAAAATAATTAAAAAAGAACTTACGTTACAGGCAATATTGTACCACCACTATTGTGCTTTATATATTCTATAAGTTAAAGGAACATTAGGCAGTGAAATAAATTACATCGTTTTGTTATGTTTGAATTCAAAGTCTTTCGGTTTGTTAATGTTTTTGTATCTATTACATACTTGGTAATTTATTGAAAAAGAGCGAATTCATTATATGAACACGTTTCTTAAAAGTAAACATGGTATATTTTAATGTAAGGGTAAAGTTAGTCACTCGCTAACAATAAGCTGTTTGTTGATTTACGTCGTGTGGGTGCGAAAAATACTTGCAACAAAAGGTTCTTTGGCTTTTTGAGTTACTGAACGGACATCGTTATTTTATTTTACATTATTTTACAAAATTGTACATTTATCTTAATATATAGGTAAATATGGATTATTGTGAAGTGTTGTTAGAAATAAACCAATTGATGTATTGGAGATTGATTATTGTAGACTTACTATATTAAGAAATACTTTCGTATCCTGTTTTATTTTGTACAATGTGGTAAATTAAGGATTTATAAATCTATTATCACCAAAAGATGAATATTTAATATATACTAACACAATTTATTTAATTATTAATATTATTTGTTTCTATTTTTAGATGGAATTTTGTAGTGATAAGTTTCTTAATATGTGAACGTCACCGCTTATCTTGTATATGAGATTTATTATAACTTTCTTAAATGAAGGGAAATATAGTCACTAAATTAGATAGTCTATTCAATTAGTAATTATTTAAATTTAAGTCATAGATAATAACTAATATTTTTTTAGTTTAAGTTAACTATTTAGTAAATATAACATCCACTTTTGCTTTTTCTTCCTTCCATATGCAGTTTAACCTCGATTATACACTGTTAGCCTGCTATTTCACAGGATGCACGTAATTGGCAACGGGCTAGAAATGCCTCTGATTTCACATGATACGCTATTTTCTGACATATTACATTACTTACAGCGTAAATATATACGTGTTGCATGAAAATAACATGGATTTCTTTAAATCTCCGGGAAATCATGAATAATGACGAATATTTTGTTATATCATAAAGTCCGTTTGATGGTAAGCTATCCTCGTAACACTTAACTGTTTGTATCACATCACAGGAACAAAATTCTTCATCACCTAATTTTCTAATTATATTATAATAATGAAAACTATAAAAGTATTGAAGCGACTCAGTTGTTGAAATCATTCGTATTCGCAAGTCATTCTGCCGAAGTGTTTAACATACAGTATTTTGTATATTTATCAATATCTATATTTTTTAACAATTTATTCACGAGATTCAGTGTAAATGCTTTGATAGTTGAGAAAAAAGAATATTTGAGAGAGAAATATCTAATGCTACTAGCGTTCGTAAGTCCATGATTGTAATACTTGATGGATAAAAGATGGGTAATATCGTTATGGTAATATATATTTCAGCAATATTTTAATAGTTTACAATATAAACGTATACCTATAACATATTGAATAAAAACATAATTACTTTATATAGATGTACATTGTAAACTAATGTAATCGCAAATTTGCAATTCATTAAATGCTTTTTTGATACCTGTCATCATCTACTGATGATGACAAAATGCGATAAAATTCCATAAAGTCTTCAGTCATATATAATTTAATGTGATAAAATTATAATTATCACATTATACCATTAAAATTTATGTCAATATTATACTCTCGTAGACCACACCCAGGATGTGACTTGTATCATTTATAGTGCGCTTCTTTATTTCTTTTATTGCATTACGTACCCACTACAATCATCTGCTTATACTTTTTAATGAGTTTATCTCTTCCTGTGCTCACTCTGGATTTGCAGGAAGGTAACTGTGTGTACAGATATTAAAATATACATTTCTACTTGATATTTTATATCATGTTGTATAACTGTAGTGTAGTTTAACTTACTTGGTTTCATGTTTCATGGAAGCTGTTTTATATGCACATGATTTGCCTATTCCTAATGTTGGTCAATATGTAAATGGATAAGCTAAGCAAATGAAGAAATCTTATGTTAATATGAAATCTATTTTTATGCAACATAAAGGCGTTTACTAAGTGCTTATTAGAAAAACGTGGAAGGTACCCAGTTATATAAGTATATTAACTTCGCGACTTATTAAGTTTTAGCACAGATAAGATAATACTATGTTTTAGGTAATATGAAATTTTGTTTATCTTCAAAAACTTCAAATTTTTAACAGGATGTTACGAACATTAAATTAAAATTATGAAGTTTTATTGACAATTTAATTAATATTCGTAAACAAAAAAAAATAGTCAATATAGGAAGATTGATTAGGAAATCACAACACAAACAGTGAATTAAGAAACAGTAACTGTAAATATTATAGTACTCGTAGATTTAAACGTTGGAGGTAATTGTTCTTATCATTATTACATTTATTTGTTTATTTATATATTATATTAATTAGACTATCTGGGGTAGTTTTTTATATGTACGTGATATTCAAGTGGTGCAACTACAAAGCTAAAAAGACAGAAGAATGTTTTGTACCTTATGTTTAAATTTAAGTTTTTATATCTCTAATCGTTTTAGGATAATGACTTAGAGGAGGTTGTTAAATTACCTCTATTTTTTTCTTCGGAGAAAAAGTAAAAATAAAATACATACAAAACCAACTGCAAAATTACTCACGTAGCACATTAAATAGCTAGGTTCTTCACGTGAAAATATTTTTTATCAGAAAAAGTCAGTCTTAAAATAGATGTATATTTAAATAATATTATTTGAGTAAACGATTTGTGTCACTCAAGAAGAACTTAAGCCCAGTTACGGTTACATCTGCAATTTCACGTAATGGCGGGTAATTTGTGTGAGAAACACGCAGACAATACGGGCACGGAATTGAGTTTACGGTATCTAATTATATTATGAACTTAGGTGGTTACAATATGGA